CGCGCCCACGACTCGCCGCCTGTCGTTAGATTTCCTTGCGGATTCGAGGGGTGAAAAAAGACCAAAAAGGGAAAAAAAAATTGGCGTTCGATATCCTCCAACATTGGCCGCACACCTCTTCGCTTCCCACGAGGAATCACGTATCGGTATTTCGACAAATAATAATACCGGCGCGGTGAATTTCCGGAACGAGATCCTGGAAGGTGTAATCGATCCGTTATCATCGGTTGTGATGATTCTGAGGATGGAGGGACGGATGCGAGTTCGAGATCCCCGATCCATCTTCTTTCTAAAAATCAGTCGCTCAGTTCGTTCGTCGCGCGAGAGTTTTTTAATTACCGGCTCAACGGTTGGTAATGATGACGAACGAGCTCTTTCGTATCGACGTCATTGGAGGGAGGAGAGACGTATCGGATCAAAGGTGACAAAATTAGGTGCTCGATGATATCAGCGAGTGTTTGTATTTTACAAGATTATTTCGATTAATAATTAATAAGTAGTAATACAAAACGTATAGAATAATTCTTGTTTTAAAAATTATAACTGCATATTCGTTTTCGTTCCTTTCGAACGTAATTTTGTCACTTGTATACTTTCGATCCATGCGAAAAGAAGAAAGAATAATATCCAAAATCAAAATTTAAAACAGATTCCAAATCGAGTTTTCTCGTAATGAGAAGATTCGAAAGAAGATCCTTATTCCGTCAATTTCGAATTCCAAAAGAAATAAAATAAAAGACAACGCGCGTTAACAGAAAAAAAAAAAAAAAGAGTCAAAGTCGCGATGATCGATGATCGTTTATCCGATGGCGGATTTTTTTTGGGGGGGGGGAGGAGGAAGGAATTTCGTCCAACGACTCGTAAATATCACCGGTGGTGGTGAAAATTTCATGTATGCACACGTGGTGGAGCATCACCCTCCCGGCCGTGTTCACCCGGATCCCTCTCCCCGTTTTTCACTTTCCTCCGGTCCTGACGGTCATAAAAAACCGCTGACCGATATTATCCACTCTAAGCTGGTTTACAATGTTCCTACGTGTTCTGTCGGCTCTCCGGGCGGCCGCTCACGGCCAAAACGAAAAAGCGCAACGGGCCATGTCGCCACGTGACGTGAGTAATTACCGGTACGAGCGTGCGTGCACACGCGTGGATTATATACGGGGTTGCCTAAATCGCCATACGTATACGCGCCACACGGACGGGAAAAAGTGTACGAGAGATGGAAAGATTTTGAAGATTTTAATCGCGTAAAATAGAATTTTTCATTTCCAAGTATCTTTTGTACGGAAAAAAAAAAATAATAATAATAATAATAATTTTGAAGAAACTAGGAACAATAATTTCGCGATAAGAATTTCGTGGAAACGAAGCCTATCCTTGGCTTTTCCTCGTATTCGCGAGGAAAACACAGGATTTCAAGGAAGATAAGAAGTCCTCTCTTAATGTCTCGCGTTCTACAATTTTCCCCGCTTATGGGAATAGAATTTTTTTTTCGAGCGAAGGGGTAGAAGAAGATACGGGGAGGGCGAATTTATCGCGCCACCGTGTATAAGCGCGATACAAGATTTTTTTAATAGCCGTCAGCCGGGAACCCGTCGGATTAATGCGTTCCGGCGTAATGAGAAACAGGCGCAAAATAACCGGGGAAAACGTGCAACCCTTTCGCGTTTTACCATTTCGCCGTTTTCCCGTAGGTAGGATGGAAGTGAAACGCGCAATTCCACGGCCAAGCTACATTACACGGACACGTGCAATGCTAATCAGATTGATCACGGTGCTCGACGTTCCAAGTGGTTAAGGCCTAAACCTTAGGGAACTGCTCCGTGTGGCCGATAAGCGAGTCGATAATCGAGTACCTGACCTGCTCGCTCGTTCCAACCGAGCCGATTATAAAATAATTTCTTCCAAACGACGTGGGGATTCATTATTTTGGAAGGATGAATATTGGAAATTTTTCGTTTCATTTCTTTTTTTTTTTTTCTTCTCTCTTTTCCTTTTCGTATTTTAAACGTATTTTTATGTATTTATAGTTATAAGACTAAGGCACTCGAAAGATAATTTTTATCGCGTCGATTTCTAATTTTTGATCTTTATTGGACTTGGCGAAAGTGCGAGCGTTACTTTCATTGGATCGTTCAATTTGATTCCGCTCGAACGGGGAGAAAAGTTTCGCGAGTCTTATCTCGCCCTAATCCACGAACATCTTGACGGGGGTTGATGGAATTTGACGAGGCTTTTATGCAAATGTACCTCGAAAGACCTTCGTCAACCACGTTGCTCGTGGTTAAACGATTCTTTCTCGAACCCGAATATCATTCGATAAATTAATCAGGCATTTGAAAAAAAAAAAAAAATAATCAGAATGACTTTCACAGATGGGCAAATTCTAGTAGCAGTAATTAAACAAACAACATATTTAATTTTTCTTTATCTCTTAATAAGATACGAGATCTCGGTACGTCCTCCAAGTTAAATACTCGAAAGTGATAAACTATAAATTGTCGATACGTCAATATGTGCGATCAATAAGTGTCTTTATCTTCAGGAAATCACCTATTTATAAAAAAGTAAAAAGTCGTGTACACGCGAAATATCATATTATATACATGCAGCAATTTATTCTATTTTATTGTCCACAGAAAATTTCTCAACCCTCGAATTTTTATCATTTTCGTTTTCGTATTTTGCGTTTTCGCTTGGAGAGAGAGAGAGAGAAAAAAAAGAATTTCTATAACAAACCACGCTAAATAAACCCGAATATTTCATACTCGAAAATTTTTCTCTATCTCGTACCATTGTAAAACTAAACACTTTAAAAGCCGACTTCTTCGAAATGATATTCCACCAACAAATAAATAAATAAACAAACGAACAAACAAAATGAAATAAAACCTGATAAATATTCCACCTTCGTATTTGCTCTTTCTTTCTTCCTCCACGCCATCTCCAAAGTCCCCCTCTGTCTCTCGTTCGACGCATCGGGCAACAACAAGTAAAAACGCGAAAACCGATTACTAGAGAGATAGAGGAACACGAGCAGCCTCGTAACGGCGGGAAATACGGTGGTGCGGGCGTATACAAATTATTTTTCATTCATACAGGCGTACAATTCCGTTTTGTGGAGCGGTGCACTTTAATTTCTCCAGAGATTTATGCAACGACCACCACCAGGACCGCTTTGAGCCCGTGTGCCACGCGTAATAACGCGGATGCGTGCACGGGGCTTGCTACATCGGTTACACGTACTTTTCACCGAGCCGAAATGTCACCGATCTTAATGTCCTCGCGAGGAAGATTTACGGGGACGGTTCGCCTTCGTCGTTTTCCTTCTCTCTCTGCTTTTCATCCTTTTCGATTATTTTTCCGCGGTGGATGGTGAGAGAGGGTGGCGAAAGTTTCGTGGTATTAAAAAGATTTTTGCACACGATTAATCGACGAGAAATTTTAAATAGTGATATCAGTGTGTGTGATATGTATGTACAGTTCTTTTCTCAAGTTTCGTTTAATCTTTTGTTTTTTTTTTTTTATTTGGAGGAAAAATGAATTATTTTGAACGTGACGAGGGAATGGGCACGTAGAGGAAAAGTAATCGTTTCTAACTTGTGTTAGAGGAAACGAAGAAGATAGTCTATCGCGAACGAAAATTAATCGTGATTATCGATTGTTGCATCATTTTCGTGATAATAGAGCGATCCTCGTTATCTGTTATACGAAATCTTTCCGATTATTTATTGCTCCTTGACGAAAGTTTTTTCGTCAAGTTTTGAACAAAATTCGCGACACGAATTCCACGATGAATTAATGCTCAAGTTAAGGGACGCAGTCTTAAATTAGTTAACCGTTGAAAAAGATCAGCGAAACGCGGCCGATGTTTCCTCCAGCGACACGAGGTGAATACAAATTCTAAGCGCGGGACTAGCGCGGGTTGAATTTTAAGGAAGCTCGAATTGAGAAGAATTGAGAAGGGCCCCCGCGATTGATAACTCGATGATTTTCATCCGGTTCATTTCGAATTATCGCGATTGAAAATTATCATATATAAAAAATTTGTTTTGAAACGAGCGATGATAACGACAATTCTTGAATCGCGAAAACGTTGTTGATCATAGACTTATATTTAATTATTTTCGCCTTTCGTCGCGATATAAAGAAATCTCACAAGAATCTCACTTCCAGTGAGGTCGCGCGTGATCGATCGATATTTCGATGATAGAATCTCGTCAAAGATCATAGTACAATGCAAGATCGATTATCGCGAAAATTATATCACAGGCATTAGCTATGATAAAAAGATAATGTGCATCGTATCGATAATCGATCGTGATCGGATTATTTCTATTCGTGTATTATATTTCACGAAGCTTGCAAAGTATTCCAGCCGAACCTTATTTTTCACCGTGTTATTAGTCTCTTCTTTTTCTCGATAATTTTAGCCGAGGATTAATTAACCATGGTCCTGTTATCAAATCGTCGCAATCTTCAAAGCAAGCTCTTTTAATTCGTTGCAACGTGTATCTCGATTTATCAAACCGAGAGTTGACAACGAACGGTAGACGATGACACGTTTATGTTGTCTCAAAGAGATAAAAATCTCGGAAGATATAAATAAATCCGGGGCTCAGTTATGGTTTCCGTGATGATCCGGAAATAAATTCGTCAATTTTTCATTCTTTCTCGTTTATTCCTTAAATGGAATTTCTTAATAATATATCGATTACAGGAATTTGTTGTTTGACAAGTTGTTTTGACAATTAATTAAACGGAGATCTATCTCGATCGTTTCTTTCTTCTTTTTTCCTTTTTTATTTCTGACTAGATATTTTCCGTATCTGTCATATTACTCGGTATGGAAATTACGTATATAACATGCGCTCAAACATACAGCAGCTTAGAAGAATAAATATATGACGAACACCTTCACGAGAAAGGAAGTATTAGTCAACAGAGTTAACAAATGACGAAAACGAAATATCAATAAATATCATAAGTTACATAAGTCGTTGTCATTATTCCAACGATAGTCATCTACGTTGTTATAATCGGTCAATCTTCGAGGAATTGTGTTTGGCTGTTGATAAGAGAAAGCTATATATAAAGTGTCGGGAGCAAGTTGCATGGTACATTCGAGACGTCGATCGAGACCACGGCAACGCTATCGAGAGAATAGAATATTTATTTCAAGATGCGCGCCTACGTTTTTCTGCTCGCTTCCCTCTCTCTCATCGCCTGCGTATGGGGTAATAATCTGATTCTTGGCAGGCATTTGCCCGGCGAGCTAATCCTCCAGAATCGAACCATCTTCAAGGTGAGCACCGTTTCTTTAATTCGATATCGACCGATCATATCGACATTAGACAAGAATTTGAGAAAACGAATAGACAGACAAATTTCTGCCCAATCCATCCGATATTTCATGTTTTTTCCCCTTCTTTTTCCAGCCATCGATACCAGGCGTGAGCCACACCGTTACGATCGGTGCAACCGCGCCACCCGATCACGTAATCTCATACTTCAGCGTAGTAAGCTTGAATCCAAAGGTGGTGCACATAATACCTATTAAAGGTAGCATTGGCACCTCATCGATCGTCGTACTTGGGGTCGGATTGCCTAGTTGGGGCATACACATAAAGGTTCTCGTATTTGTTGTTCCCAAACTCCCCGAACCCACCACACCGAGCACCACAACTGCACAACCACCAACCACGACCGAACCAGATACGATGACAAGCTCTGAACCGACTAGCACACCAAGCAGCCCATCCAATACCGAACCAGATACGACGACGAGCCCTGAACCGAGCAGCACGCCAAGCAGCCCATCCAACACCGAACCAGATACGACGACGAGCCTGAACCGAGCAGCACGCCAAGCAGCCCATCCAGTACCGAACCAGATACGACGACGAGCCCTGAACCGAGCAGCACGGAACCAGATACGACGACGAGCCCTGAACCGAGTAGCACGTCAAGCAGCTCATCCAACAGCGAAGAGCCAACGAACACCGAACCAGATACAACGAGCTCTGAATCGAGTGGTTCATCGAGCAGTGAGGAATCAACGAACACCGAACCAGATACAACGAGCTCTGAATCGAGCAGTGAGGAATCAACGAACACCGAACCAGATACAACGAGCTCTGAATCGAACAGTGAGGAATCAACGAACACCGAACCAGCAAATGTGCCGACCAGCACTGAATCAAGTAGCGAAGAATCAAATGCCGAATCGAACGAATCGATAAACTCTGATTCAAATAGCGTGGAATCAAATAGCGAAAAGTCTCGGAATAATCGATTGTGGAAATGGATCCGATCTCGACTCTGATGAATCGATCGATAAGAGGTATAAAGTTGGAAATTAGCTCCGTACGTTATATATCCGTAGTATATCTCGTCGATGTTAAATACGAGGATTTAAAAGAAAGGGGGCAACTGGGTCTTGTTGTAACAAAATGAGGCCCGAATCGACGTTGTCCTCCAAGCTTTAACGTAAAATGCGTAACGCGTTACAAAATTTTGTAATTAACTTATCCTTTTTAATAATCTAGCATTTTTAAATAAACTTACTCTCTCTCTCTCTCTCTCTCTCTTTGATTCACTCCTCCTCCTCTTTTCGCTCCAAATTTCGCTCCAACCCACTCGTTGAAATGCAAAAGGTACCCCGTCATCCCTAAACTCGCCTCTTCCTCCCAACCCTCGAGAATTAAAATTCCCACGAGTGGCGGAACACGCGTAACAACACACGACGCCCCCTTTATCCTCTCCCCTCGTCATCATCGCTTACGTATTTTCTCTACGCTATTGATTCCGTGACAGGGATATAATTCGGCCACGCTTGAAAATTCGAGGCACAGACACAGTTTCGTTTCGTTGCTAACGCGTTTCCAGGAAAACTCCTCTCGCTGGATTTAGGGTTGCATCGCACGTAACACCCACCACTGTTACTTGATTCGCTTCATCATCCCGGTGTCTGGAAACGTCTTCCGCTTCTTCTTTTTTCTTCTTCCCTTTTCTTCCCTCCCCTCTCGTCCTCTGGCCTAGATTTTCCACGCGAGATCCACGGGGCCACGTCCGTGGAAATTGTACGGCAATTTGGCGAGATCCGATTTGTATGGATACCGATCCCTGAAATTTTCATCGGGGATGAAACCTGATCGACCCATTGAAAAATTCATCCTCCCGCGCCATCTTCCGGCCTCTCCACCACTTTCTTAAATATTTCATCGGTCAATCGCGACATCTCCCCGATACGAGTATCCCGATTTATCCAAGGTTTGATAGAATCGTAAACACAGAGCTTCGTTTTTATCTCGATTCGTACGAACGAACCATCGCTCCACGTAAACAGGTTATTTTCCAATTATTTTCCACGGAAGTTTATTCCACGACGAAGCATCCAAATATCCAAATATCGTTCGAGCAATTCAAATCCAACCGAGGGATGCGTAACCACACGTAGATATAATATATAAAAGGTAGAAAAATAATCCAAACTTCTCCCCGAATATTTCTCGACTAACATCGATCCGTCGAACTTTTTCCACACGTGCGTGGAAAACGAAGAGAACAGGAAAAACAGGGATTACGTTTCAGGGCGCGAAATTGAAAATAGAGGCCCTGTCTCGATCGGAGGACTGGTCGATCGATCTTTGCTCGTTGCTCGTTCGACGGTGAAAAATCGGTGGGGGGGCAGGAGGGGGAAGAAAAGGGAATCGAGGGGCACACAGCAACAAGTGAGAGTGGAAGAGTTATTGGACCCAAAAGGCTGTAATAATGGGCGGCGCGGAGGAATCGAACGGAATTCTCCTCCTCGGTTTTATTCGAGCGCATCCCCGATCGGGGAAAGTCGATACAAAGGAGGGACCGATCGACTGGAAAATCGCTGCATCGCGATTACTTCTCATTTTTCTTTCTCCCATTTCTTTTTTTTCCTCCCTCTTTTCTTTCTCTTTCTCTTCCTGCTTTTTTTCTTTTCTTTTTTTTTTTTTTGCCTCCGATACGGATTTGTCGGATCAAAACAACGAGAAGAGTTCCGTGTTTTCGCAGGCGTTTGAATAACAGTCGTGATATCGGAAAGATAAAGAATTATACTTGAGCAATTCGGTGTGCGACGGATAATGAAGCCGATCGAAGATTTCTGTCGATCATCGGTATCGATGGCAATGTAAACGAATTTTACTCACTACAAAAATTTTCGCTTCGATTTATCTGATCACGGGCTATAATTAATCTCGTTAATCTCGTACACCTTTGATTCGTTAGAATGATATATTATCTTTAAAACGACGAGAAACGATCGAATATTCATATTCTATACATTTCCCTTCTAATACACACGAGAAACGGAATTATACGAAAAATCGAAGAAATAAGTTTCAATTTCCTTATCGTCTCTCAAATTAAAATTCGAGATCGAAAATAACGCTCTTTAACTTATACATATATATATATATGAAACACGTGAAATCTAAATTTCGACGACAAATTTCTCGCGATAAAAATGAAGCACGCGCGCGAATTCGATTCCATTCGCGAAACGAAACCCTCGAACGATCAAAGTTTGTTCGGCCGAGAAGAGGCAACCGACACCTGTCGCCTTTCCTTCTTTTTCTCTTCCTCCTCTAACCATTTGTCCCGACAATTCGAGGAGCAGCAGAGTGGGCATATTTCTAACCCATTAACATTCCCGCCACGGAAACCTTTATCGACGTCGTACACACTCCGAGTTATTTCCTTCGTGGATGCCTGGTATCGATGCATCGCATGCAAAGCAGCCGTGATTCGTCTTCTTCGCGCTCGGTAGCTTGTAACTTTTCTGTTCTGAAACCGGAAGCCTTCGCGTGTCTGCCTTCGACTCATCTTTCCCTCTCTTTTTTCTCTTTTTTTTAAATTATCATCGCGACAGGAAATTTGAGAAAGGAAGACGAAATCTTCCGGGATTTTTTACGGAAATTTGGACGGATGGACGATTAATCGTTGGACGATTCGCGTAGTTTCGCAGGGAGCGAAAGTTGTGGTGGAAGATTGCAAAGTTCAATTTTCATATCTAAATCGTGGAATAATGGAAACTCGAGATGATGGAAAATATATTATGCATCCGTTATATAAAAAAAGAAGAAGAAGAAGAAGAAGAAACGAAATTGCATTACGAAATTGTAAAAATTTATTCCATAGATAGGTGTATTTTTCCACCGTCTTTTTCCTTCCCTTTCGTTTCGTCGTTCAATCGATAACTGTAATTTTTAATTTATTCTGCTCTGTATTTTTTTTTTTTGTCTCATAACAGATCTACGGATGGTAAAAAGATCGGAAATTGATTTTCCAAACGTTTGCAATGGACGAGCGGCCATGTTTATTTTAATTTCCTGGAAATCGTGCGAGCTTTTCCGTTCCCGGTCCTATAGGGTCGTTTAATTAAACGAGCTGTAGATAATGCCGTTATCGGGACGGATTTCAAGCAATTGCTTCCACCAATTTCTCTTCGATATTTATTTATTTACCTTTGTTTTTCTCGCTCGAGGAACGCAACGAAGATCGTTGCGTCCACGAGTGTCAAGGTATTTCTCGACGTTTCTGTTCTAATTTCAATTAAAATTATAACGATCTCTATAATTATTCATCGATTGTTCACGCACCAATACGTTTCACCTCCACCTTCGGAATTTATCCTTGTTTATCGTTATTTTACGCGCACGTTGCATTCACGGATCGTACAATAGATATCAATATATTCTTCGCGTCCATTCTAATTTCAACGTCATCGTGATCATTCATCATCCACACGCTTCCATATTTTTATCTCCACCCCCATTTATACATTCCAATAAACAAAAGACCCGAATAAAAAAAAAGTGAAAAGAGGAAAATTTAATTATGGCAGCGAACGAACGTTAATTTCATGACACGTTTCACGATCGTCTTTTGAAACGAAAAGAAAGCAAGTTGAAAGCGATCGATATCTCAAGGTTTTCGTCGAGAGCGGCCGGATTAAAACGAGACACCGGGTATCGAAGGCTCGGTCCACCGCGCTCAAGTTCGCTGATCCGAGAGATTTTAATTATTACCATCGAATCTGTCTCGTGCACGCGTCAAGTCGGATGTAATGATGAAATTATATGAAAACGTTGTTCGATCGTTGAGATTAATTATCGGACGCTCACGTGTATGCATATATGAATATGTATATCTATACACGTGTAAATGTATCCACACAAGGAACACGGGTAAAAACCGTGTATTCCGCCGGAATATCGTTTAATTGACACGCGTTTACTTTTAATTCGAGACGTGCTTCTGCTTACTTCCTCTACTTCCTTCCCCCAATAAACGGACGAACTCGCCGATCAAACTAGAGGAAAAACTAGTTGAAGCACTTTGTCACGATGAAAAAAATTGGAAATCAGATTTTGAGATGAAACGACTCGCGAAGAAGTCATTATTATAATCCTGCCAATTTCTTCTTCTATCGCTCGCATCATTACAGAAGAATTCTAATATTCTCTTTAAATAATTCCGATTAAAACATTTCTCTCTTCGCGCGAAAGCGTATCACGTATCAAAAAAAAAAGGAACGAGCAACGATTCACAGATACGAATCGCGTTTTTCAAGAAACGCGGTTTCACGAATCGACGTTGCTCGATTCGACTCGGTCGAAAAAAGAAAAAAAAAAAAAAAAAAGGAAAAGAATCCCAAGTTTTTCCCGAAGAAAACACGAGCGCGAAGGTATTCGATGTAAATGCTCGCGCGACACCGCATCCCCATAAAATATTAAAAGAGCAGAGCCGTATCGGTGTCTCGAGCTTTTCTTTTCAAGCTCTTCCATTCAAAGCCCATCCCACCGCGTCTTGGTAGCGGCATTCGCGATCCGTTTACCGATTCCATACTTTAACGGCATAAATCTCATCTAATAAATGTACACGCGTGCATCGCGAGTGCATCCGGCTGTGGCACGCAAACCGTGCCAGACATTTATCATTCAACGTTCTCGTATCGAAGGGACACGCCGCGAATGGAGCAGCTTCCGCCTCCATATTTTTCTTTTCTCCTCTTCTTCTTTTTTTTCTTTCGTCAACCAATGAATCGAGAAAAGGTAGAGGAACGTGTCGATTGATACGAATTGTCGACTCGATTCGAATATATATATATATATATCGAATCGGGTCGTCGAGGGTTGAAAAAAATTTGCTCCAAACACTTTGTTCTTCGAATCATCCAGTTGCAAACTTTGAAAAAACTTTGAAATATCGCTCCATCTATCCCTCCTTACAATTTTCACCGAAATCACCGAAATGATCGCAGTTTCCAAAACGACGGATCGATCAGAGCGTGGCCCGCACCATTTCGACCGGCGCATCTTTATTACGCTAATTGCGCCGGCTCTGCCATTCGTTC